ATAGAGAGGCAGGTTGAGGCAGCGTCTCTCTCCACTTACAGATTGAGGCAGGGTCTCTCTCCACTTATATAGAGAGGCAGGTTGAGGCAGCATCTCTCTCCACTTATAGATTGAGGCAGGGTCTCTCTACACCTTTTATATTGAGGCAACATCTCTCACAGAACCCAGAGCTCCCTGTTCTGGAGATCTGACCATGCAGCTTGCGATGGGGATTCCCTGACTTTGCCTCCACAAAGGCGCCCTCATGCCCCGTGATCCTTTGCCACTCCTCTGCTTGCCTTTCAACTCTCTGCCAAGTACAGATGGGGGTGTGGATTCCCTCATGTAGCAGGATCTAGATACATACATGGACTCTGCGAAGTGATTAGATCCATAGACTGGCTGAGGCTAACCCCTGAGTCATAGTTCGAAGGCTTATCTTTACTCTGGTAAGGTCAACTGCTCTGCTCCTTGATGCCAACTGCTCTCACATCTCATTTATCAGGAGCGATCAGCTTTACTCCTCTTCTCAGGAGTAAAGTCAGCGACCACTTTGCCAGTTCAAGGGTGGAGTAAGAAAAGCCTCCAGCTTCCTCCTTCCAATGCTCAGCTCTGCAGAGAAACTACAAGCTCATTGCAAACGTTTTTGACAGAAATACCCAGCTGGCGCTAGCTGTAATTTGAGTTACAAACTCAATTTCCACTAATGTCATAATCCCTATTTAAAAAAAAAAAAATGCAGGGTGACTATCACAATCCTCTGGGCAGAGCCAGAAAGGTATGTGTTTTGGAAAACCCTACAGGGAATCGATAGCCTTTCTGATTGGTCAGTTTGCTTGTAAGAACCTGCAGCCTTCTGGGGTGCTCCTTGGACCCTCATGTACATGCTCCACGCCCTAATGGTGGCAACACAAAGGGAAGAACCAACCTGCACTATATTTCTATTTAAGAGGTTATTAGAAGGACAGAGCCCATGATCTCCCACAGCCCTCCCCTCCCCAGGGCCCCTACCTTTTCCTTCTAAGAATCCCCAGCAACCTCTACTTCGCACACAGATATACTTTGTGAGATGAGTACGTGGGCCAAATACAGACCTTGGGATAGCGATGCATTTGTATTTGAAATTTCTAAAATTTTAATTTAGCCAGACCTGGGGACTCACACCTGTAATCCCGGAACTTGGGAGGCTAAGACAGGCAGATCCCATGTTCAAGGCCTGCTTGGACTAGATTGAGAGACTCTGAAATAAAAACAACAACAAATCTTAGTTGAATGTAGCTGGACATGATGGTGCATGCCTTGAATCCCTGCACTCAGGAGGAAGAGCCAGGTATGTCTCTGTGAGTTCTAGGCCAGCCTGATCTACATAGTGAGTTCCAGCCAAACTTTTATACAGTAAAACTGTTTAAAAAAAATATAGCCTGTAATCCCAGTAGAGACAGGAAGATCATTGTGAGTTCAATGACAGCTAGATCTACATAATGAGTCCAGGACAGCCAAGTCTATACAGAGAAACCCTGTCTAAAAAAATTAAAAACCCAAAAAAAGTAAATTTAAGATATATCACTCAGTGTATAAAATGATAACTTCAGAAGGAGATAGATAACCTAATTACCTTGGCCTAAACCATCCACATTGTCTGCATACATTGAAATATTATTTTGTGCTCCATAAATGGTCATAATTGTGTTTATCAATTAAAACAATATTAATAAAAACATAGAAGAGACTATGAAGTATCTCCTTAGTATTGAGTATATTTAGTACTGATTGCATGTTAACAGTAATAATATTTTGGAAATGTGTTAAACAAAAAATACCACTCAAAAACCAGACTGTTCTGGTGTTTCCATTGGCTTTGTCATCAGCAGATCCAAGCCATGAACAACGCCAGAACCTCAGCTAAATAACATCCGCACCTCCGTGGCCATAGAACTCCGGCAATCTCCTTTTTCGAACAACTCCAATATTTTTAATTAAAATATTATTGAACTTGAGAAAAGGGAGTGACACAATTAAATACATGGAACTGGAAGCCCTCAGCAGGTATCGGATGACTCCTGACCACCCCTGGGCCCTCCACATACTGCTGGATTCAAACAAGTCATGCCTAAAGCCAGTCACTCCTTTACCCCAAAGACAACAGTCAGGCCTCCACGCAGCCATTTATTCATTGCCAACGCCTTCTCGGTTATTATTTTAGAAACCAAAGCTGGACAATTATCTGTTTCCATACTTTAAAAAAAAAAAAAAGGATGAGCTCTGGTAATTTCAGAACACACGGGTTCAGTTCTTTGCTCCAAACACAGCAAGGTCACATGGAGGAGTCAGCCCACCCTCCTTCGCCCCACATCGCTCCCACATGTCCCTCTGCAGAGATACGGGAAATGCATAGATGATGACAAGTGGGGAGCAGAGGCTGAAGGAGGGAGAAGGTGACAAGGAGGCCACCACCAGCCCTGCCCTCTTCGCTGAGAACACAGGCCGCTATTGTAAGAAGTTCTGTGTCCAGTGCCAATGCCTCCTAACCTAGGGCTTCCCCACCACACCCCAAACTCCTCACAATCCCAGGGGAGGAAGGCCTTGGGACTGCAGGGCCATGCTAGGGGCCTCACCGCCCTCGTTACAGGGAAAGGGCAAGATCTATATACAAGATGTTTCGTGTTGCCTCAGAGGTTCTGGCCTTTATGTTCTATAACCAAGGACTGGCTGAGTCAGAATTCGAAGAAGAATAGAAAGGACCCGTTACTGTATCTCCACGCTGACACATGAGCAAGAGGGGAGTAAGCAGGCAGCTCGGGGCTCATGGTCACTTTCACTCACTGTCTGCACATTCGCTCTCTGACACAGTACAGACGGAGCACAGGGAAAGCACAGGGCACTGGAGCGAAGTTTCCGTGTGCTTAGCCATCATCCCTGGGTCTGCGGGAAGCTGGCCTGTCTTCTCAGTCAGGCTTACCGATCACTCCCAGCTTGGTAGCAAACATCAGTGCAATCCCGATGGGGAGGCCAATCACGTAATACCCGACAGCGTTGACGATGGCTCCAACCTTCTGGTTCCCGGTGCCCCTCAGAACGCCACCACAGGTACACTGTGGACGGGTGACATTCATCAGTGTGAACACAGCTGGTGCTTCTAAAGACCCCAGCTCCTAGACATTGAAAGCCTCTGTGTGGCCCTCAGGCTTGGAACAGGACTGTGATAACGCTTTGCAGAAGTGGCCCTGGTAACGATCAACAGGAGCCCCCTCCCCCCAACCACTCCAGCCTCCCTTACAACTTGAATTCTATCATTATCAGAAGAAATAGCTAGCGCAGAGCATGAAAGCGCCCGGGGAAATCAGGCTCGGTACTCACGGCAAGACCTTCAAAGAGGTGGGACACAGCATAAATGGGAACCACTTGAGCCACCAGGGCCACGATGTCCCTGTCAGGAAAACATAGCACATTAATGAGAAAGCAGGGGCTGAGGACATAGCTCAGTGGCTAAGAGCACGTGTTCTTGCAGAGGATCGAGGTTCAACTCCTAGCTCCCATGTGACACCTTAAAACTGCCAGAGACTCCAGTTCCAGTGGACCCAAGACCCTCTTCTGGCTCCCATGAGCTCCAGACATGCATGTGGCACACAGACCCACATGCAGGCAAACACCCATAGGCACAAAATAAAAAATAAAAATAAACAAGAATGGGAAGACACGGATCCCAGGAGTGGAGACCACACAGGTACCGTAGCTCAACAAGCCGTAGGCAGTTTGTCCAGCTGCCCTTGTGTATTCACACCAGCTAGCAGCCCAGGTGGGAACAAGTCTACCACTGTGTAACACGCATCAGAATCCAATTTTCTAATATATTTCATAGCTTTTAGGGGGAAAAAAATAACATGCAATCCATTTAGTCAATAAAATCCAATGAAATGATTTCGTACCCATCTGCCCACCAAAAACAAAGCTTAGATCACAGGGCCACCCTCCTTCTAACCCAATTTCTGAGGTAGATCTTGATTGTACGTCTCTGGAGCTGTCTGGATGATTACACTACAGAGTGAGCGCTCACGTGCTCTCTGTGTGGAGTGCCGCTCAGGGGCAGAGCATCTGTCTAGCATGCATGAGGCCCCGTGCCTGGTCATGGCACCATCAAACAATAAAAAGCTCTTCCCAGATCTTCCCCCAGGGTTCTCATTCCCAGGAATGGGCTCTACTCTGAATGCCACAGATTTGTGTTTTAATGCCTACGGGTAAAGGGAGAGAAGAGAAACGCTACCAGGAGAAACACCCTCAGGGGTACTGACTGGGAAGGAAAACTGTCTGGCAATAGATATTTGCAAAGTAAATGAAGAAAGAATCCAGCATGGGACCAAGTGGTCCCTTTCTTCCCTCCAACCAGCACAGGCATGCAGCTGTCTGTTAAAATGAGCTTTGAATGAGAAGTATATACAAACAAGTCTGATAACCACGGCCTCTCAGGCCACCACACAACTGCCCTGTCTTCTTAGATAACAATTTTTGCCACTCCTGTGTTTGTCCGACATTTGTGAAAACAGAAGCAAATACACGTAAATACGATGAGATCCCCCTATTCCCCTCACGTGCCCTCCTCTGCTCACTCTGGCTTGCTCTGGCTACAGATGACATCCTCTCTTCTAGTCTAATGAACTGTGCTTTCAGTGTGGCCCTGTTCAATCCCGTCTACTGAGATTTCAGATTGAGTTTTAATTTCTTTTTCTTTCTTCCCTGTTTTGGGGGGCGGGGGAGTGGCAACGCCATAGACTGAAGCAAGGCTTTCTGTGTGCACACCAAATACATGCTCTCCCACTGAGCCACACACCCGGACCCTTACCTTGCACTTTCAAACAGATGAGTAACTCATTTTTACAGTGCTAAGGGTCAAACCCAAGGCGTGGAGTGTGTAAGGCACTGAGCTGAATCCACAGCCCTGTTCTGGGCTTTTAAATCAGTTTCGGTAACTGAGAATAGTCTGATTTTCTTTGTGTGCACGCATACTGTCAGATTCGGGCACTATCTGGACACATTTTGCCTCATAAGAAATGCAGATGCTTCCTTTTCTGTGCTTTGAAAGATTTAAACATCATTAAAATTATTTATATTTTAATGGTTTGAAAACGTTTTTCCTTTGGAATCAGTGCTTTTTTTGTTTGTTTGTTTGTTTGTTTATTTGCTTTTCATTTTAAAACAAGTTCACTTTGTTTGTTATAAGAAAGTCACTTCATTTAGATCTGTCTTCTCTGGGGTAAATTTTTCTAGAGAATCTTCTTCTTCTCCTCCTCCTCCTCCTCCTCCTCCTCCTCCTCCTCCTCCCCTTCCTCCTCCTCTTCCTCCTCCCCTTCCTCCTCCTCTTCCTCCTCCTCTTCCTCCTCCTCTTCCTCCTCCTCCTCCTTCTGTGGTCTTTGTTGTCCTTGTTTTGTTCTTTTTATTGGCACATGGCCTCGCTATGTAGCCCAGGCTGACCTCAAACCTGCTATCCTCCTGCCTCAGTCTCTTGAGTGGGGGAGTTATAGGCGTGTGGGGCTATGCCTGCCTCTGTTATTCTGGGTTTTAATTTTTCTTACAAAAAGAGATTGTGAGAACTAATCTCTTCAGGCCACTTAATGTGATCTCCCGTCGTATGAGCTTCGAGAGCTGCAGGAGCAGGAAGCTCCAAGGTTTCTCCTCACTTGGTTCTCGGTGCTTTGCTCTTTCCTGTCGGCCTGCACCCAGGTCTTTCCTTTGCATATCTCCAGAGACTTCTTGGTGGAAGGCCTAACCCTGGTTCTTGAAACAGAGCTGAGGTCATCTGGAAGAATGCCATTCCAGAGAATCCCCAGGGTGACCCCATACCGGCCCTGGCACACAGTAGCATGATCCTCTTCTCCAGCAGCTGGGCGGATTGTTCCAGTTCTTTTTGCCTTACCTCCTGGACTCCTGCCGGGGAAGTGGGGCTACAGCTCTGCTTGTCTACTCTCAAGGCCCCTGCGTGAGCAATACAGGGCCAGCCCTTGTTTGGCTGTCGGGCTTCGAGGTCTCCAGACCAACCTGAAATCCACAGTACACCACTGCCCCACAGAATTCATATGGCAGGAGGCATCGGAAGTCTCGCATACCTCTGGGCCTGGCCCAACCCCCGATCTAACTCCACGTCCATCCTTTGAGAGAGAAAAGCATGGGAACTATTTATGGTTGCCTTCCTCACCCACCCCGAATTGAGAAATCTACATGACATTGTCTGAGGCTGAGAAATTGTTAGCCTACTATCAAAAGACAAGCAGGTGGGGAAGAAACCGAGGCACCTGTGTCTGGCCCAATAGCTTTTTGAATCCACAAAGGAAACGCTAGTTTGCAATTTGCGGTTGCTAATAAAGTTATTCTAAACACGAAGCGTCTCTATGACATCGCTATGTAATGACAGCCTCCAAGTTAGCCTTCCTGGGGAGGCAGAGCGCAGAGTGGGTTTGTTCTCTCTTCAGCCATCAGTTCAATGGCACGATTTCTAAGGCAGCTCACTGATGAGACTGTTTTGACTTCAATCTGTGAGACAAATTATATCCTAAAACTCCAGAAACCAGGCCGCCTGAGACAGCAGGTGGCTCTTGTCACTACGATGTGGATCCCGATCCAGTCCCTGGGACCAAAGTGCTTTAGACCTCAGATATAATCAGACGTGGGAATACTTGCACAGACATTATATCTTGAGGGAGGAGACCTAAGTCTAGATGCAAAATTGACGTTTGTTGCCCACCTTGGTGGGGCTACATGGCCCCACCCCTGAGCCCTCAAGCAGCCATCTGACAGCCTTCTGGAAGCCAGCAGGCTCAAGCCTGAAAGCTAAATGTTGATAACTGTTTGGTGCAGCGGCTGCTGCGGAAGGAAAAAAAAAAAAAATCCAGGCTGTATAAGAAGGGGCTGAGGGCGGGGGTGGGGTGGTGCTTGGCCAGCTCTCCCGGAGTCCCACTGCCCTCATCCACTGCCGGCCCCGGAGCCCGCGCCAGGGAAGCAGCTCAGAAGGCTCCTGCCGGTTGAGATAGTTTAACAGGTATGATGGAGACAGACCTGCACAGCTGATTGTGAACCCTAGCTTCTTTTGGCGGTCTCATGGTTCTTCCCCTCCTCTCCGGGTCTGACCGCTCTTTTCCAATCATTCCTACCGTTTACCCTATTTTCATACCGACATTCAGCCAGTCCCAGCCAGTGCCCTACACATTCGGGCTTCCGAGCACAGGAGCCATTGGAATTCAGTGCAGAAGGAAGGAAGGGACTGCTGCTTTCAGGAGTCACTGAGACGGACTCACCTGAGACAGAAACCCCCAGGACATGAGGCTTCCTTGGCAGGGAGCTCAGCTGAGCTAGCCTCCAGAACTCCATCTGAAACCGTAGGCAGAGGGGACTTGTTCTTCCTCAGCCTCCGAGACTCCATGCTTCAAATGAGGACCCTGATTACCTGAGGTCACGACCCCTCACATTGCCCCCTTGGAGCTGCTGCTCTGGAGACTCTCATGGGTGACCTGCTCCTGGCTTCTGAGCAAAAGCTTTTGGGAGCTCTGAGGTACAGCACTTCCCAGAGCTGTACCAGAACTTGGCTAGCATCAATCCATTCAAGTTGTTTTATCTTGTTTAATATTGTTAATCCTGAACTGACAAAGATTCCTCTTGTTGATAGCACATTTGTGCTCAAATGGTTTCAGATTTTGAAGCTTTTTTTTTTTTTTTAATTAGGAGCATAGGATGTCTAACCAACCTGCAAAAGTGGCAGGCTCTCTCTCTACCGCTAAACCAATGCAGACTCTGTCTGCAAATGTAACCAATGGTATGAAAGACTTAAGACAAAACAAACAAACAAAAGCAAAAAACCATGAGGGCTGGGAAGATGGCTCAAGCCTAATGACCTAAGTTCAATCCTCAGAACCCACGTGGTAGAAAGAGAGAATTGCCTCCTTCAAGTAGGCCTCTGACCTCCACATGTCTGTCTGTCTGCCTGTCTCTCTCTCTCACACTCACACACATACACACACACATACACACAAAATATAATTTAAAGCGATTTTAAAAATTCACAACTACCATGTCTATCCGAAATATGTTATCACCACTAACTCCCATTAACTTGACATTTAGATTATAAATTGGTTTCTCCATCTTGGGATTCAGGTTCTTCTCAAGTAACATCAGTGAGATTTCTGATCTTGCAAATGACTTGGAACACCTCTCCAAGACACAGCTATTCCAGGGAGTCTTGTCCATCATGGTGATAGCCACCGGATCTATTTCTTTATCACAGATCCCACGTGTCAAGAAAATCCCAGCACTCACCGGTCAGTTGTAAAAATGTAGCCCACGAGATCCTTACAGCCTAGCAGCAGGACACAGAAGGTCACAGCAAAGAGCTCTGGAAGTAAAGGGTCAGAAGAGAAGGCACAGTGAGTAGGGAGGTCGCAGACCGTGAGGAGACAGATTGCCCCATGCACAGCCTGCATGCACCGGGAGTCTTGGACAGAAAGGTGTAGGCACCTGTGACTATCAAGGAAATTGCTGAGGACCTCTTGGCCTGTTCAATGTTTCCTGCACCCAACGCATTTCCCACCCGGACATTGGCAGCCACGCTGATGCCCAAAGGGACCTAAAAGGAAAGAATACACAATGAAGCTGTGCACTGAGACACCACAGACAGAATCAGCCTGTGGTTCATACCTCCCTGACAAAACATGGCCCTATGGGCTCTGAAGACACTTTGCAGCATCTCTTTGGCCTACTCCAGGCTGATGAAGAACCTATATCTCCAAGTCAGGATTCTCAAAACAAATCAGGCCTTTCTGCAAGGTTTCCAACCTCTGCCATGAGAAGAAGGACCCATGAAATCACACTTGTCCTCTGGAATGTAGGAGACCAGTATGCAGGATGGGCTGACAGAGAGGTTAGGTTATCAAAGCAGAAAAGTCACTAAAGAAAACACCAGGAAGAGGTAATGCCTTGTAGCTGGAAATAGGAATTCCGAAGCCAGACTGCCTGGATCTTTCTGACACTTCTATCCTTATTACCCATGTGAAACTCTGCTAACTACTTAACCTCTGGTGTTTCCTATCTGTACAAAGACTCTTGTAATGGAGAGATTGCAGAGCTCACACAGCCTCTGCTTAGAATAGTGCCTCCCAAGTAGTGAATATTCATAAAGATTTTCCATTAATATCTGTACATTTACCACTTGAGCTGCTAATAGTTTTTAAACGATTAATCACTTATTTGACCATAAATGCTACCTTACGAGTCGGGATGGCTAAGGTAAGGGTTAAAGAAAATCTAATACACAGATTAAGAAACATAGACCAGATGGGAAATCAGCTTCCCGCCTTCAAGGTCACAACAGTGACAAGAAGATTTTCCCAATACACAATTCATCCACACTGAGGGAAAAACAGGAATGTGACGTGAAGAAAGCCGTCAGCAGCAATTTGACTGTGAGCCCCTAGTTAACGTTCGCATGATGTTTCTCCGGGTCTGGTGTCCTGAGAAGGACACACCAGTCCTTACAGGACTCCCTCCACTGGTGGAAAGACTGGATGTACTTAAAATGAAACAGCTAAAACACTTTGAGGGGAAGCGTCACAGTCAAGAGAGACAAAGAAAGGCCAAAGTTCTGTTCCCAATTAAAGGACATTAATGATTAAAGGACATTAGCAAGACATGTCTTCTTTATGCCAGAGGGGAAAGTTACCGAGAACTTTTAGAACAAGAGGTGGCAGGCAGACAGGGAGCCAGTAAATGTGGTGCTGCTGGCAGCGGAAGCAGCTGTAGAGAAGGTTTGAACCCTTCTTTTGACTGGAGAGAGATGTTAACGTGCTCTCCTGAGCCTGTGGAGGGCAGAGGACAAGAAAGGCAAATGTGTGTATACAGATTTCTGTATAGACTTGTAAGCATTTATCTTAAGGATAAAAAAAAAAAAAAAATCAGGAAATCACGGAAAGATATTTGTCCTAGGAGGTGTCCTGAGGTGTTCTTGCTCTTATTTGAAATTTTGTGGGTTTAAATACTGGGCGGCAGGAGACTAGCTTAAAGAGAATGGGCTCATGGACTTCAAGCATTGGTAAACGTGCCTAACTAAACTTACTGAAATATGAGCAGTATAAAGACATGAAGCTCGGATTAAAAAATGCCTTCCACGGGCAGGAAAAACAAAAACATATGCCCCCAAGGAGCAGAGGTAGGGCGTTGACCTACCACGCTTACACCCCCAGAACTGCCAGTGGCGGAGGAGAATGGGGGTGTGAGCAGAGAGGGGCACAAAAGCTGAGGAAGTATACATTACCTGTATATTTTAAATATAAGCAACGGAGGATTTAACTTCAGCTAGCTGGGTCCTTCTCCATACTATAAATCTCCCTTTCTCTCCATTAAAAAATTAAAAATAAAAAATTGCAAGGTGCTAGGGATGAGCCTCAGGAAAGCTCTACTACAGCGGGGCACCTAGTCCCTTTAGCTTTTTGTCTGAAGAGGTTCGTGCTGTAGAAGAGAGCCCCTTCAGAACTTCAGGTCGACACTTTCCGTGAAACAAAGTGACAGAAGAGCCTCTAACAACGTGTTTTCTAACATGTCAGAACGTGTTTTCTAACATGGCTTTTTAAGGCCCGCAACATTCCATCGTGCACATGCACCATACCTGGGCCACCCACCCCTCCACAGAGACCCACGAGCAGCGCCCCTTTCAGCCAGTAACGCCTCTATGAGCATACACATGTCTGCCCAAGTCCCTGCTCCCAGGACGGGGGCAAGCAGGGATCGAACCCAGGGCCTCGTGATTCTGAGGCACTCTACCACTGAACTACTCCCACATTTGAATTTGTTTTTGTTTTGTTCTGTTTTAGAAATCAAAGGCAGTCCAACCTTGAACTTGTGACTCTCCTGCTTCACCCTCTGAGCCCCTGAAATTACACATCCCTATCACTGGTCCCAGCTCCAGGATAACATTTGATGTCCGGGAACCATCTCATTACCTAATATCGCTAGTGCCTTTTGCTCACTGTGGAACTCTCAGGATAGAAAACAGAACACCTTTCCCACGAGCACACAACAGAGTCTTACCATATACACGATGATAGCCAATTCATAGGTGATGGACTGCGCTCCCAGCTCCACCATGCCGAGAATACCTGGTAAGGACGGACAGCTGAAGCCTTGCCCCAGCCACACAGGTTCCCACCGGGCAGCCCATCTGCATACTCACCGCTCAGGAAGCTGCCAATCTCGTAGGCCCACCACTCGATGCACAGCATAAGCATGCTGGGGATGGCCAGCCTCAGGAAGGAGGCCCAGTCCTGTAGACACTCCAAGGACCACCCTGCAGGAGCAGCAGATGGTTTTCCACATGCCTGGCCTCCAGGCAGAAGCCACAGCCCAGTCAAAGGCAGTCTTTACCTCCCCAGGTGGCTTGATGGAGCCTTCTCCAGAGGATGTAGAAGAACAGGAAGATGGCGAGGGCAAACTGGGAGATGGTGTTGGCCAGCGCTGAACCCCTGGGAAGATGGGCGGCTGTGGGTGAATACTGAGATCCACCCTCTCCACTCTAGCCCAGTGAGTTGGGGAGCCACGTGCCCCTCACTCTGCCCTCCTCCACCACAGACCCCGAGGTTACCCTTCTGTTCACTCCGACAGCACTTTCCAGAAGGCACACCGAGTCCATACCCACACCAGCTAAACAACCCTCTCTTTCCCTGGAAAAGCCTAATGCGGTCCCCTGCCCGGCCCAGCCCAGGAGGAAGCTGGACTCACATCACCCCGAGATGCAGCTGATAGAGAAACAGATAGTTGGCCAGAGCGTTGACAAGGTTCGCTGCGATGCCGGTCAGAACCTGAGGCAGAACGATGCCCTGCAACGGAGGAGACGCTTAAGTGACACTCACCTTTACCTGCTGAAGTCCCAGGGGCAGGAGCTCTCGGCAGGGGGAGGAGTGGGGGGCACACAGCCTCTCCCCTCCCTCTCTCCCCTCCCCTTGGCTCCTCCACTTTGCTGTGAGTAAAGGGGGGGGAGCTCTGGTCTCCAAGGCAGGGTGTGAGAAAGCAGCAGGGGAGAGGGAGAGGAGCAGGGAGTCTGGCAGGAATTAGCAGGGTGGAAGGCGACATTTTTCCTTCTCAAATGGAGAGTGGATTCCTTCATAGTGGGCTCCAAGAAATAGGAACAGGGGAAAAGAAAAAAAAAAGTCCTCCCTACTTCACAGCTCATGTTAAGGCTCTGGGTGGGGGTATGGGTGCTGGGGAGATGGCTCAGCAGCTGAAAGCACCTGGCAGGTTCAATTCCAAGCACCCACATGGCAGCTCACAACCATCTGTAACTCCCGTTTCAGGGTCTCCAATGCCCTCTTCTGGCCGCCGGGGGTACCAGGCATGCAAGCGGTGCACAGACACACGGGAGCTGGGGCCAGTGGTGACAGCAGAGGGAAGATGGTGGCAGGAAGATCTTGAGTTCAGCATCCTCCTGAACTAGACCGGGAAACCCTGTGTTCTTGGTTGTTGGGTTTTTTTTTTTTGGGGGGGGGGCTGTTGTAGTTTCTTTTGTTTTGTTTTTGTCAGCTTGACCCAAACTAAAGTCACCTGGGAAGGAACCTCAGTTGAGGAATTGCTTCCATTATATTTGCCTATGGGCATATCTGTGGGGCCTTTTCTTGGTTGATAGCTGGTGGGGGGGGGGGGCCAGCCCACTGTGGCTGGGGGGCCTGGATTATATAAGAAAGCAGGATGAGTAAGTAAGTCATGGGGAGCAAGCCAGTGAGCAGCATCCCTCCGTGGTCCTGCTTGCGTTCCACTCCGGCTTCCCTCAGGGATGAGCTGTGATTAGGGCCTATAAGCCAGACGGACCCTTTCCTCCTCCGGTGTGGTTTTGATCAGGATTTTATCACAACTGAGAGTAACAAGAACACCTTGTTCCCAAATGGAAAACAAAACCAACAGTCCAAAAAGACTCGGAGGAAATGGGGCCTTTCTGAGTGGTAGGTTGATATCCTCCCAGCACTGCAAGAACAAAAACATTACGTAGAAAATTAAAATAATATTTAGGGTTTGCTCGTAAAACTACGTTGGACCAAGGACATCACAGCCTGCCCTCACATGCACCAGGAGGGTGAAAAACAGTAGCTGTGGACACACAGGTAGCGGGAACACTATTCCTCCTGCTTCCCCGCAGTGGCGTTAGCCCCTGCTTTGGATGCTGCTTTCTCGCCGAGAAATCCTGATATGAGAACCACAGGCCTCATATCTTCCCCGCCTGGGAGATCAGCATCACCGGGGTATGGCTCAGCTTGTAAAAATGATGCTTGCCTGGTATGCCCCAAGGCCCTGGCTTCCGTCCTGAGCACTATGGGAGGAAAAATTAAGCGGTCTTGATGTCTAACCCAGGTGCAGAGTATCAGGTGAGGTCATTAACGCAGTCATCTGCGTGCACCTCCAGCACCTCCCTCCGCCCTGGGATCGCCAGATGGAGAGGCCCTTACACTAACCCTCACACAGGACCTTGCTCTGCTCTGGGCCTGCAAATCAAGGCTTCACATACATAGATTTGGTTTTTCGAGACAGGGTTTCTCTGTGTAGCCCTGGCTGTCCTGGAACTCACTCTGTAGACCAGGCTGGCCTCAAACTGGCAGAGATCCTCCTCCTCCCAAGCACTGGGATTAAAGGCCACTCCTGCACTACCATCCTGCCTGTCTCCTGAATGCTAAGATTACAGGCATGTGCCATCACTCTTGGCTACTTCTACAGCCTTTTGCCCTAGCACTTCCTCCTTATCTGGTGAGATGCCCCAAACACCACTGGGCCCTCAGTGTGTGAGTAAATGAACAAAACACAAAATTGCAGCTTTGCCTCCGGCCATCTCCAGCTGATGGGACCAGGACTAAAGTGTGGCTGTTCGTGTGAGCTCCATGTTCAAGGAGAAAATGAGTCCCTGGTGAGTATCCTGTAAAGGGTCTGCAATCAGATTCATCTCAGGTATGGAAGAGCAGCCAGCCTGCCTTTTGAGAGGTACAAGGTAAGTGGAGAGCGGGGAGCCAGGTAAATAAGATGCTACGGAAGTGACGAGAAGTAAATTCAGGAACCCATTAGGTAATTACCTAATGATGGCTCGTTAGGTAAAGATGCTTGCTGCCTTGTCTGATGACCTGAATTCAATCCCAGGGCCCACATGGTGGAAGGAGGAAACTGACTCCCACAAGTTGTCCTCTGACCTCCACACATGCTGTGGCATGCACACACAGACACACTAAATGAATAAATAATTATTTTCACAATAATAACAATAACAGAAATAGAAGAACAGACAAGACCCACAGGACTAAGTGACCAAACAGTGGCCTATAATGTACAGAGTAGAGGGAGAAAGAACAGAGGCCACCAACTGAATAAAGTGAGGAGGAGGCTGCAGGCCAAGATGAAGTCACAGGTACAACATGCTCCCCTTTGCCTCAAGGCTGCTAGCAAGATGCCTGGAGGTCTGGGATTGATATGGGAGCTGTGAGGATACAGAGGACAACTGCTTTTCTCAAGAAGGGCCCAAAGGAGGGCCAGAGTTGTCCCTTCCCTGCCAAGTTCCTCTGCTGCAGGTCTCTGTGTTCCTGTCTTTCCTCTGCTCCCTTTCTAACCTCTTCCCTCTTCCAGGGGAGAATGTGCCCCCAAACCAGCAGCATGCTTGGGCTAAGGCACCCCACCTCTCCCATAGCCCACTGTCCTCCCAGCCTACAGAACCTACACACCATCGTGTGTCCTGCTCCTTTGGAGCAATTCCTTCTTTTCAGACCATCGTCAGCTCACCATTTTCACAGCTACCATCTCTGCACCACAGAGTGGTTTGCTTTCTACCACCACAGTGCCCTGTAGAAACACCACGTGGCTCCGGCAGACCAGCCAGCCTGCGCCTCTCAAGCCACTGTGTGCCATGTCTTCTCAGCTGTAGCAGTCTGACCACTCGGCGCTCCTGCCTGGTGCCTAGTGCCTGACACCGCCATCTAGGAACACTTCCCTCAGGGGCCCAGAGCCCCACCAGTCCACTGTAACTCGGGTCCCAGCCCTCAGCCCCTCTCAGCTACCTCTAGGTCCATCCCTCAGCCTCAGCTATTGAAGAGTGCCGTGTTCACACTCTCCATCCCTCCTCCCATCCATGAGATAAAAGGTCACCACACTGTTGAGAGACAGAAAGACCAGCAGGGGCTGTTGTGACACGCTGAGGATTCATAGAAGGATCTAGACAGAGAAGAGACGGCTGTGTTCAACTAGTTCGAGTACATAACGCCAGCATTAATCAAGTACGATATCTTAAGTATTGAGCAGGTAGGAAACTTCCCTGCCTCTTTCTACCCTCATTCATGCCTCCCTGTTACACACAACACAGGAAGCCTGCCTGTGTGGTGGGTATCTGTGACCCATTCCCACTTCCCCTGAATGTTTCTAGAAGGAAGTCCTCTATCACACACTGTCGCAGAAACCCACCCCCACCACATCAGGGCCACCATTCCCGGGGCCTTTGGCCATTGTTGTTTGCCATGTATGAAAGATCTTGACTATTCTCTGTTCTCAATACAACTTGAGCTTTTTTTTTATACCCTCTGCCCCAGAAAGCAGGGTTTCTCAGAAGAACCAAGAAGAGGTGTGGACTGCCTAGTCCCAGCCAAGCCACTCTGACCCTCAGCCCTTTAGGGAGCAGACAGGCCTGTACCGGTAAAGAGCCAAAGAACACAGAGGTGCTAGCCTTCACAGTGCCAACGGCAATATTTCCGAGTAGGAACTAGATACAAATTGTCAGAGCCAAAAGCAATGCTTCATTCACTCCTCGGTGTCACCTAAGACGTCTCTCCACAGCAAAGCCCTGTCTGTGTGCGCAACCCTGAAAGCATCTCTCGGTGGCTCTCAGCAGAACGGTTCCCTCCACCCTGGTCTCCCTGGTTCTGTCAGCCCCCCAAGGGGAAGAGGACAGCCCACCTTACCTGGTTGAGCAAGTATTTAACTTGTATCGTGTAAAGAAAGGCTGCCTGCGAGAGAACAAGAGGCCAGGGTTAGTTCAGCAGCCTGGCCACACATCGGGATGAGAGCTGGGGGCCGTGGCAGGCTTGCCCCACAGACACCCTGGCTGCCCTCTGCTCCACAGAGCCTCGTCTTAACCTGGGGCGAGCAGTGCGTGGTCCAGGGGCTTCACGCACCTTCTGTGTGAATGAACATGATCCAAGAAGTTCTAGTCCTGGGTTGAAGTGGTCTTATGGGTTCATGTGCTTAAGGTTGTGGTCCTCAGGTAGTCAGGCTTTTGGCGGGGGTGGGAGGGGGAGTGGGGGAACATTTGGAACATGGGGCCTTGTCTAATAGAGCCATGGTCTGTCTACATCTAGTCTGGCCTGACTACAGACCTGAACTCTTGCTTCCTGGTGGGCTGTTGATCAATAAACATGCTCCCTTGTGCTCCTGGGATCACTCATAGGAGTCAGTCACACCAGCATGGGACTGTGAGCTAAAAGTAAGTCCTTGTTTAAGTTGCTTCTCTTGGGTGTTTTGTCCCGGCAACAAAAGAGGTGCGCCCCCGCACCCTGTCTCATTCGCTGTACACTGCTGTCTTCCCATAGCCCAGCTATCGCCTTACTTGGTGGAATAACGAAAAGATGTGACAGTCAAGTGTTTTTATGGGATAGGGCCGAGGGTATAGCTCGGTGATGGAGTACGTAAGCCCTTAGCAAGCAAGGCACTGGGCCCCATCCCCAGAAATGTAAGGATAAAAATAAAGTAAAATAAAACATTTTATGATGAACGAAGAAGCACAATGCCACTTATGAGGGCAAAAGGCTTCCATCATGGCAGACTGTGTCCCTCCTATTCACCCACAAAAGCCTATTCCCACACACAGCTGGACTTAGAGGGTGGTTAAACCAAGATGGGGACTCGGGAGTGGGGCTCTACTCCAACAGGATTGGCTTGTTTACAAGAGACAGCTCCCTTCTGTGGGGACACAAGGGGAGCGCCTGCAAGCCCAGGACGGAGGCCACAGGGAGACCCCGGAGGCCCGCACAGTGATCTTGGGCTTCCGGCCTTACTTTTTGCCGTGGAAGCCACCGGCCTGAGGCAGTCCCAGCAAACACCCGGCCCCTCCATCCAACTGAATAAACTTAGGTTTGGCTGTTCACTGACCGCCTACAACTTGTTATTAAACGTTAACGCACAACTTCAATGTGACCACACACAACCGTGTAAAGGTCAGCGATGCTCTGAGAGGTTCCGCCATGGGTAAGACTTTACCCCTTAAAAGAAACGTTCTGGGTTCTCCTGCTGGATGCCCCGAGCGCGCTCCAGGTACAAGAAGTCAAGGCAAACGACCCCAGTCTAGAGTTTCTTTGGTTCTTTGAGAGATAAATGCTGCTGTGTCCTTAAGGATCATAATTAAAACACACTTCTGTGATGAGCCGATGTCACGTGCGAGAATTAGGTCAGTGAGCTCATGACATCCCGGCCACTTTTCACCCAAGGACCCAAGAATGGAGTCTCTGACCCCTCTGAAGACTCACGGGAAGCGCTGGGATGAAGATCATGACATAGGTCTGGGTGAGCCTATACAATAGAAAATAGTGACAATGATGACAGAGGCTGCCTCTCCCAGGAAGAGTCAGAATGAAACAGTGGACGCTGCTAGTGCATTCTTGGTTGCTCCTAAATAAATGGACTTTGGTGGAGCAAACGCAAAACTATACAGAGCCCACTGTCTTGCCAGGACCACCTTCCAGGGATTCTGAGCCTCACGCTGCAGCTGGACAGTCCCTGGCTACGGGAGGTGCCCAGGGCACTACAGGCTATTTCTCAGCCTTCCTGGTTCCCAAGCCCCTCTACCCAATAAGATATCCAGGCATATTGTCAGGTACCTATGGGTTCCAAGCTACTGGCATGGGGCAAGTACTTTTCAAAGATCTTAATCAGTTAAGGAAGTGGGTCTTAAACTTGGTAGCTCTCTCTCAATAAAGATTTGAAAGTTATTCGTGCCCCCGGGCCTCACCTCTACCGGTTAAGAGTCTGGGGGTGTGGAAACTAGAGGCCTACTACATAAGTAGGTCTAGTAACAACTGTAGGTAAGAAATCACTAAGCATTAACAGTCCACAGACTGACATCCCAATGGGAAAGTATTTGTGAATGCGATTCCACTCAAAACTCTCAACCAGGAAGCCAGTAACGAGAGGGAATCCAGGTCTCATAAGCCAGATACAGAAGGTATCAATGCCTGGGAAGGGTCAGCCAAGATCAGCTTAAGCTCATCTTGGTGTGAGAGCCTGGCCTCTGTCACCAGAAGGCTGAGGATGGATGGATGGATGGATGGATGGATGGATGGATGGATGGATGGATGGATGATCTTTCTGCCTTAATGGATGCCCTGCCTTTTGCCTTGCCTTACCTGGATACATCCGGGTCCTGCCTGAAGAGCAGCAGAATTTGCTCAGTGTTGATGAAGATTGCCCAGCAGGGGAAGCAGCAAAGGAGCAGGATGAGTGTCCCTTTCTGTAGGATAACCCCGACGTGCTTCAAGTTCTGGCTCCCGTATGTCTGGCGAGCACAGGCAAACAAACCCATCAGACAAAAGCAGCCCATCCTGGCTGTCCCTCAGAAGCCTGCAATATGTCTCATAGGGAAGCAGGTGGCTTGGCCATTCTCTCTAGGGAAAGATGGTGTGGCTGACTGAGAGTTGGCTTGCTGCACTGCCCAGCACCACAGAAGTACACTACCATGGCTAGCCCAGGCTAGGACCCAAGCAGCAAGGCCAAGTTAAAGGTCTCCCGTGGTTCTAGTATACTGTCAGTTTGCATGGTCTGGAAGCCTGTTAGAAATGCAGATTTGGAGGCCTGATTCCAAACCTGCTAGAGCAGGAACTGGGCCAAGGGCTGGTCTTGTGGGGCACCAGCGCCTACCAACTCACAGAAGCCAGAAGGTGGCTATGTCTGTCAGCTCTCTGTCCAGTAACATCTCTGTGGGAGCTTCAGACCAGCTCTAGAGGGAAACACATACCAAGTACCAACGGCTCTGCTTAAAGCTCTGCTTAAAGGGCTCAACTTTCCAACTCCAAGCTGGTACACAGAAAGGCACACGTGGTAGAAACCAACCTTGAAGTTTTATTTTGGATCATCCCCCAAACTAGTGATATAAGATGGGATCCTCTCATTCAATGCTGGGCAGCCCAGGAGTCTCAGCTCTCATTAACTATGGATCATGGGGGACCAAGCCCTGAGGGGACCAAGCTATGCTCCATGCTGCTGAGCCAGGGTGTTCCCGAGGAGAGGGAGAATCTATGGCTGGCAAAGGCTGCCAGGGGCTTGTGGCTGAGCTTCTCATCTGAGGGTGCACACGGCCCCCCTCTTGTGGTGAGATCCTCCATCTACGTACACCAAAGATGTCTGGGTCACCGAGAATTCGATCCCTTCCATTTACCTGGGAGATGAGGGTGTCACAAGCAGAGGACAGGCCGTGTCCCACTGAAATGCCGGTGACATTGATAACCTGGAAGTGAACAGTTAAAGGTTCGTGCAGGTCAGAATCACAGTGTGACCGAACCCCCCCTAGACAACCTGCTCAGACCACTTGGGGCAGCTAGAATGATACCCAAGAGCTCAGCAAGGGATACTCAAAACCCAGGCCACAGGTAACAGCACAGCCTTGCTGAAGTCTTGGCTGCCTTGCTCTCTAACTTCAGAGCAACTCCTAAATAAACACAGGGTGACCCAGCAGCAGTTTTGGGGTGACCTTGAGACTAAGGGCCAGTTAAGCATCTCTCATCCCAAAACTCTACAATCCAAAATGTTCAGAAATCCGAGACTTTAGCACTAATAGGACAAAATGCAGCACCACAGATTTCGGAGCAGTTTGGATTTGGGAGTTTCAGGTTAGAAATGTTCAGCTGGTTAAAGTGCACAAATATTGTGAAATGCACAGAGGAACTCGAGACATTCCCATGCTAGGTTTCAAATAAAGGTTTCGCCAGTGTGGCCTGGGTCAAGCCCCTGGATCACAGGAAGGATGCAGAAGCAAACAGTCAAGGCTGGTGCCCGCTGGAGACTTTTCGGGCACACTTGCCTTCGCTGGAATCGGGAAGTAGCTTCGTTGGGCTCTCATACCGCCACCTCCCTGAATCTGTAGCAGGGTTCATGAGGACAGCAGCTGAGCCCAGCCTGCTGAAAGGGCTGGCTTGTCCCAAGCCCTCAGTCACTAGAAACCTGCCTGAGGCTTAACTGGGTGAACTTCCATAGTGCCTCAGATTTTTAAATAAGGAACTGGGGTGTTGCTCAGTGGTAGAGGGTTTGCCTAGAGACCAGGCAAGTAGGGACAGGGCAGGACACGTGGGGATAAGGAGAACAGGAATACACCCTGCAAAGAGCCAGGGTCCAAGTCTAAAAACACACATGACTAAGCCAAATAAGTTGATAGGGGCTCTAGCCCTTAATGGCCAGTTAGCAATCCCTGGCAGAGACCAGTGGCCTATCTCCTTGACTTTGGGGACTGTGTCTCTGACAAAGAGAAAATTTGGGGATCCTCCCAGTTTCACATTTGGAGTCTTGTTTGGATCTAGACCCTACCCTCCCATTCCATTCTGGATTAGGACTTCCATTTGGATGGAAAATGCTAGAAATGGGTAATGTGGCATCTCCCGAGCACAGCAAACTTCAGGGCATCTATACAATTCCCTTTTTCCCATACTCAAAACCCAAGCTCCCGGGACCATTTACCAGATGATACGGTAACTGAGATAATACCTTCCAAAGAGAGGCTCATTCAACTCACTAGGCCTGGCAATCTGCAAGATCACCCCAAAGAAGGATCATTCCTAAGGCTGCAGCCCCATTGGCACCCTGGATTTAGCCCAGCGGAACTCATTTCAGGCTCCAGACCTCTAGCACCACAAGGACACACACAGCACTGGCCTGTGGTCATTTGTCACAGCAGCAGGTGGCACAGACAGACAGATTTACACGCCTTCGCTGAAAGCCTCCTACGTACTGCAATTGCCAGCGTGACTGCATCCAGCTCCAGCTTGCCCAGGTGGCCACAGAACACCGAGCTGATGAAGCTGATCAGGAACGTCATCAGCTGGGCCAAGAACTGGAAAGAGAGGAGAGAAGGGGTCACCAGAGCGTACAAGAAAACATGGTGTTTCCCATCCAGTTCCCCAGGGAAAGAAACCTGGACGCCGTTGACCCACCTGAAGGGATGTGTGATTTCTATATAGCATGCAATGTGTGTGCTCGCCGGTATTAGGTTCAGCTTGACACGGGATAGAATCATTTGGGAAGAGCAAACTACTCTATCGGGAAAAGGCCCCCACCAGGTTGGTCAGTGGGGAATTTTCCTGATTGATGTGGGAGGAGCCCCAGCTCACTCTGGGCTGTGCCACCTCTGGCCTGGTGGTCCTCGGTGTTATAACAAAGCAGGTTGTGCAAGCCATAAGAGCAGTCCTCCATGGTCTCTGCTTCAGTCTCTGCCTCCAGGTTCTGCTTGAGCTCTTGCCCTGACTTCCATCAATGATGGACGGTGACGTGGAAGTATAAGCAGAAATAAGCCCTTTCCTGCACAAGTTGTTTATGATCACAGAGGCAAATAACTGACTGATAAGTTGGCACCAAGGAGTGGGCTGTTGCTGTAAAGAAGCTGACCATGTTTCCTGAAGGAATGTAAAAGGCCCTGGACTTCAGACTAATCACATGGACTCTTCCCCTCTGGAACCTGAAGCCAAAATAAACCCGTCTTCTGTAAATTGCATCGATTTTGGTGTTTTATCACAACAGGAGAGCAACTAACACAAGGACTAAGGCAAAAGTGAGATCACCCAGCTAGACAGCAGAGGACTATGGGAGTTCACATAAAAAGCTCCTCGTTTATTGAATTCCTCTGATTTCTATGATGGCTCTGCTATGAGGGAAAATACATCCTCAAATGCTAAGCCATTCTGCCTTACGTTCCAGGGACTACCATGCATTCCTCCACCGAGCTATGTCTCTGACACAAAAGCCCAGGAATCTGGGCTAAGTTCAGACAATTCGTGTGGGGTGCACTTTCAAAGGCCAGGCTGTGTAACGCCATCCCCTCACGAGGCCTGCTGTGGTTTTCCTGGGAGTATGCCAACAACTTTGCTCACTACCCAGGTTGGCAACTGAACACAGCCAGTTCCTGCTGGAGCAGAGATTTGCTGATGTCCCAGCTCTTGGCTGCAAGGTTTGGGGTGAGCACCTGGCCACAAGTGTAAGAGTCACCTGCAGATACTGAAAACGTCCCCTGATCTACCTCAGTGCATTGATTTTGGAGGTTTGTGGTGCTGGAGAGTCTGTATTTCTATACTTTCTCTGCCTCTGGGCCATGCAGAGATACATATGGCCAACAAACACACTTTGAGAATACCCAAGACCCTTTGGGGCTAATGCTGAGGAAGACATGTTGTTTCTAGACAAGGAATAGTTCTCCCACGTAGCTCAGTGGTTGCTGTGTGAACAGCAGTGAACTGAAGTGGCCACCGCTTAGACAGAGCCACACATATCACAGAAATTACCAGGCTGTGGGCAGGGTGCGGCTCATGGGGGGTCACGTACTTAGTGCACGAGAGACCCTGGTTCACCCCCCTTCATTCACATCCCCAGTTGGCAGACTGTCGGTGGTTCTCTCCTCCCTTTTTGCCCAGAAATATTGCTCTTCCCCCCCCCCCCCAATAGGCCACAATACAGAAACCTTGGAGCAAGACCCTTCCTGCCTTGTAACTTAAGATGGGAGAAGACGGGCTGTGCTTGGGCCTGGTGCTTGGAGGGAGAGCAAGTAACAACCTGCTCAGCAGAGTGTGTGGCTCAGGACTCAGGGGCTCAGGAAGGGTCCCATCATCCTCTCACCCGCAATGGCCTGAGAGCCCATCCTTAGCAACAACAGGTCAGCGCAGCACAGAGCCCAAGCCGTCATCTGGGACATTCTTCCTTGTACACTTGGGGACGCTCATCCCACAGTCACGTGACTCGACTCAGACCACAACAGTATCTTTGAAGTGCACAGTGCATCTGGGATCCCAGCCCTGTGGTCCCCAGTCTGAGTTCTCTCTGCCACCCCGCATTGGAAGCATAACACAGTCAGAAATGGTGTGGAGGATAAAATGACACAGCTGAGCACTTCTACTGAGAGCTGAGAAGGCACCAACCTCCCATGGGGGCCCCTGAGGTCACGAAGAGCAGGATAAAGGCCTGGCTTCTCGGCCTTCGCTTTGTGCCTGAGTCTTGCACTTGCAACTGGCTCCCTGCCTGCTCTACACACAGGCATGTTAATCACTTACAGAGTGCAGGCTAAGGGCTGGTAATAGCTTATCCGTCTATCTCATCGCCTTGAAGGATAAAGGCACAGAGATAAGGGTAATTAAGGCATCTTCCGTAATGCCCTGCTCCAGCCCCCAAGGCGTCTGAGAATGTCCAGTCAGGTTCTAATTCTTTTGTCATCTTGGATCTCAAGAACAACAGAGCGAACACCCATGAAGGATTACCTCTCAAGGGACAGTAATCACCCCCTAAAGGAAACTGAAGTACCCCCTCCCTGCATGCAGGAGTAATCATCTGTCATCTGACAGAACCTGCAGCTTGTCATTCACGCACACGATGTCATTCACACACATGGCACAGCCAGGACTGAAATGACAACCAGCCACTGGTAAAGCTGAGCTCAAAACTTCATGAAGAACTTGCCAGGCAGAGGAGAGGGACAGAGAACTTCTGAAGGCTGAGGCTCAGGCTCTGAAAGGAGGCTGGCTGGGTAGAAGGGTGGACGTAAGGTAGGGCATGATGGCTAAGCAGGGGCCAGACCACGGAAGTGAGTTCAGGGTTTGCTGCTTTGTCCCTGAAGGACCGAGGTTGATCCACAGGGAGCATTTCGGAAAGAACTCTGGAGAAGGTGAATGAGAAAGCACAAATCCTGCCAGCCTGTGAGATGGCTCCGCCAAGAAAGCCGATTGCTCCCAAGTGGAAGCACCGGAGTTTAATGCCTGAGACCTCCATGGTGAAGGACAGACAGAGCCTACACCTGGCAAGGTGCCTTCTGGTCTCCGCCAGCGTGCTGTGACACCACACACACACTCACACACACACTCAGTGAATAAGTAAGTATGTGGAAAGAGAAAGAAAGAGGGCAGATGCTCAGAGGGGGCTGGCTCGGCCACCCTGTTTCCCAGTAGAGCCTGGGAGGGCGGGGCAGAAGACCCGAAGCATGGCCCGAAACATTCCCTCTGGGAAGTGTATACAATCACAAGAGACTAAGCTGAATGGCACTCTTACAAAGCAGTCACGGGTCACCTGGCTGCTCCTACTAGGGACTACAGGGGAAATTCCTCAGGGATTCCCAAGTCTCCCTCTCTCTCTCTCTCTCTCTCTCTCTCTTGCTCTCTCTCTCCTGTTGGTCTAGATGGTTTGGTTTGGTTGGTTTTCCTTTCTTTCTTTCTTTCACGTTGGTGAGAAACCAATGGCCTGCTTGCTTGTATACATTCATGTTCCCATGCAGGAAAAGGAGCCGACATCCCCCTATCAGTCTAGGGCTGGGCAGGAGCTCCAGACACCGCTGCTGCTATTCTTCCTTTCCGAAGCAGGCGCTCGCTCTGGAGCCAGGGTAGCCTGGGACAGCACGCAGCTGGAGTCACCTCCTGCCCCCACCCCTTCTCCCAAGCACTGAGATTCCAGGCCATGGCTGCTACACCGCACCACACCTGGCTGCTAGAAAGCTTTCCCAGCAGCCACTCGGTGAGCCTAAGCTGAGGCAAAGCTAGCTGCTCTTCCCTTTGTGGAGAGGAGAGGAGAACAGCTCTGGTTCGCCGGCTGTCCGCTAACACACCTAGGAAGATCCGAGCAGGGAACGGAACTCCACGGCTGCAGTCTGCACACTGCTCACAGGGAGCCCTGTGAGCCCCTGTGCCCCTGGTGTTCCCAAAGCCGCTCTGCACCCTATGGGCGTGCCACCATATCCAAGAACAGGGTCGTCATTCCAAGGGGCCACCCAGGTCCGGGCTCAGGAGCCCCAAGCTGCTTGAACGTCTGCCTCTTGGCAGTATAATCACTCAGACACACATTGGCATTCTCTTCTGGCCAGAGAAGTGGCTTTCTCTCCCTGGAGGACTGAGAATCCCCAGACTGGAGGGGAACAGGAGTAAGAGTCTATGTGATGTGGGTCTGTGGTCTTTAAAACCCACATTGCTTCTCAGAGACAAAGTCGAAGGAGATCTAGCATACGCGTAAAACCAACCCCACTGATGAGAGCGCTTTCCCCTCACAGAGAGCCTCATTAAAAACTCAGGGTGTGAGCGCGGTGCTTGGCGGGAGAGGGGCTGGCTCAGGATGCCCTAGTGCCAAACTGCTTCTAGATTTCAAACCGTTTCGAAAAACCTAATTCCGAGGTGACCGTCCACCTTCCTGCTCCGTGCCTCAGCCCGGAGTTGATTCTACAGATGCGCGACCCCTCACGGCTTGCAAAGAAACCAAGTCTGCGCGTTTCTGCTTTCAGAAACCGCTGGCTGCAGGGCGCGCGCCGAGGCACCAGGCTCTGCGCACCGCTGCGGCCCTCCACCGGCTTCCCCGGCCCCCGACCCAGCCAGGTCAGAACCCAGCAACTCCGGTAACCCCTGGGGGCCGAGGCCACCGGACTCACCGCGGGACCCGCCAGGACCAACAGCGCCCGCAGCTCGGCCCGGAAGCCGGACAGCAGCAGGCGGCGCAGCCCGCGGCGCTCGGAGCCGGCGTCCGCGCCCCGCGGCCCGGGAGCGGGCTCCTCCGGGAGCTCCATGCGGCCTCCGCGCTGTCGGGGCGCGAACGCGGCGCGGGAACCCACGGGCCTGGCCTCCTCCAGTCCCCGCCCTCGGCTGCCTCCCCAAGCCCGCCCAGCGCTGGCCGAGTCTCGGTCCGGGCGACCTTGGACGCGCCCCTTGCCCCTGCGACCCCGAGGCCCGCGCGTCTCCCAAGTGCCAGCGCCCCGACGCGGGACGGAAGGGTTTGCAGAGGAAAGCACACCGGGCCAGCCACCTTCCAGCCCCCGTCGCCGCGGGGTGGCGGCGCATAGCGGTTCAGAAAGGTGCGGTGTGGAAGGACCGAGGCGGGATCCCACTCTGGCCAGCCAAATCGCGGTTCGGCCGTGGTCAGCCAAGGGTCGCATCTGGCTGTTTGTTTGGGTGTTGAAGGTCTCCGCCGTGCAGCTTGCGGTCAGCTCAACACACACTCTGTTACGGTTTGCACTTTACAACTTTCTTGATGTTGTTGTTCCATTAAAGAACCTAGCACCCCCCAGGAAAGAAAAACAAGCCACATTTTTCCAAGCAGCACACAAGTGTTCGCTGGTCTTGGATAATCACCAGCCCGGAGAGACAGGACACTCTGTGGCAGGAATATGCTGGTTCGAGGGACCCCTGCTGCCGGGAGAACACAGGCTTGTCTCCAGGGTCTCCCTCTCCTCATCTGTAAACTCGCCCACTCCCAGCCCAGCACAGCGTTGCCTCACGGGTGTTAGGGCCAAGTCAAAGGTGATTCTGTAAGAGGCTCAAGTCCCTTCTGTGGCAAGTGATCCTGACTCACAAGTGTTTTAGCTGCCTGTTCGTTCCATGTTGCTGTGACAACACCGTTGAGGGCCGTGCAGGGGGGACGTGCAGCAAAACAGCTTTAGAACTCCCGGAATTCGGCCCACCGGTTAGCGTAACACCCACGTGGGTGTGCCCCGGGACGCAGAGCCTGTCCTGAGGACTCCCTGCTGCTGTGGAGTGTCGCTCTGTGCTCGCCACATCCCTCGCCATACACGAGTTGTACGAAGACCCTAAGAGGGGCTTCCAGCCCCTCACTGCGCAGCATCACTGGCCCTCAACAGTAACAACGCCTGACCTCCTCCAGGCAATTGCTGCTGGAGCAGATTAATGATTCAACCACCAACCTTGAAAAGAACTCAGAGCGGGGATTGTCAGCCATGACCACCACCCTTAGAAAGAATTTGGAAAAAGAGATTGTCAGTGAGGTTAGGCTAGGATGTTCTTGTCGGTGGCTCTGATGTAGAAAATCTTAGAAAACAATTTAAAGTTCAGGAGAGTACACTCTTAATAGTTGGGCTGGGCATCTTTGAGGTTAGGGAGCAAGAACAAGACCCCAAGTAGCACTAGCTGACAGGACTCTCTCGCTGAAGCTGAGCTGGTAATCACAACTAATTTCTTACACCAATTTTTGCCCTCAGCTTCCTAATATGACTTAATAAAAATTGTTAATGAGTAGGTGTGCATCTTGAGGATTTAAAGTAGAAATGACTGGTTGTTTTTTTTTTTTTTCTTTTTTTATAAAAGTTTAGATTTGTGATTCTTTTAAGAGTTTTATAAGATTACCTTTTTTTTCCCACACAGGATTTCTCTGTGTAGCCTTAGCCGCCCTGGACTCACTTTGTAGACCAGGCTGGCCTCCAACTCACAGAGATCCACCTGCGCCTGCCTCCCAGATCACTGAGATTACATGGGTGTGCCATCGGCTCAGCAAGATTACTTTTTAAGATAATTGATTCTTTCTTTATAACCACAAATTACAGTCTGCCAGAAAAAAAAAAAAAAAAAACTGGGCTGAAAAAAATTACCTTGCCTGCTTACACTTTGTTAATCTTACAAATTACTTAGTTACAAATGTATATGGGTTCTTGTCAATAATTTGTTTTTCACATTTATTTTTCACCCATAATACTTAAAACATTTAATCACGTGAGTGCACTAAGGAAAGTGGTTTGTTTGTTTGTTTGTTTGTTTGTTCTTCTATATATACTCATTGTAATCCTTCACTCAAAAAAAAGAAAATAGAATGTAGCCACATTGTGACTTTTGTACTGCTTGAAACACTTTGCTGGGATATATAAGCTGTGGGGGAAAAAAGTTGTTGGAGCTCACTCTTTGGAGTTTGTTTCATCCACTCAGTGTGTGAGTGTGTGTGTGAAATTGTTGGAACTTGCTCCTTGGAGCTTGTCTTGCTTCATCCACTAAGTATCTGTCCCCACCCCTTTCTTTCTTTTTCTTTGCCGGCTACAAGTAGTTCTGGCCAAGAGAGTCAAGCTTTGTACCCTCAGATAAAAGTCTGCTGAATGATCAGTCACAGACTCTACACACACTGCCTCAGTCTATCCTGACCTCTCGAAGCAGGTCTTCGACACAAAATATCCCAAAAGCAACTTAAAAGGAAGGCCCATGGCCTCAGAGGCTCCATCCATGTCCAAGGAAGAATGTAGAGGAACATTCCTTGCCTTGTGACAGCCAAGATGCAAAGAAACAAAATGCTCTTCAACAATGTGCTGGGCAGTTTTCTAGCCTAGTCTCCAACACCTTCCAAAATGAGGCCACCAGGTGGAGACCAAGACTTAAGCATAAGGGCCTGTGAGAGACATTTCATGCCCAAACCATGCAGTAACCAGATAACAAGGAAGTCTGGGGTTAGGATTTGGGGTTTGGTTTTTAGCATTGGGGTTCGAACTCGTGTCCAGTCTCGCACATGCTGAGCAAAAGCCCTACCACTGAGCTACAGCCATGGGGAATCTAAGGGCTGGCGCAGAATATTTGCCTAGTCTATGTGGGCTCCTGGGTTCCAGCACCATGAAGAGGACGGTCTCAGTCAGTGTTCACTTGCTGTGAAGAGACACCAGGACCCTGGCAACTCTTATAAAGAAAAGCATTGAACTGGGACTTGCTTACACTTTCAGAGGTTTAGTCCGTTGGCATCCTGGTGGGGAGCATGGTGGCGCACAGGCAGACGTGGTGCTGGAGAAGTAGCCAGCTCTACATCCAGATCTGCAGGCAGCAGGAAGAGAGACTTGACGAGACTCTCTCTGAAGCTAGGCTGCTGATGAGATGATTGATTCTTGTACTCATTTTTGCCCTTAGCTTTCTAATCCGATTTAATTAAACTAATAAAAATTGTTCATGAATACATGTGTGTACCTTGAGGATGTAAGGCAGAAATGGCTACCTGGTTTTTTGTTTGTTTGTTTGTTTGTTTGTTTGCTGTATGAAAGTTTAGACCTGGCTTGGGCTTTTAAAACCTCAAAGCGCACCCCCAGTGACACACCTCCCAATCCTTCTCAAGTAGTGCCACTCGCAGATGACTAAGCATTCAGTTATATGAACCTATGGGAGCCATTACTGTTCAAACCACCACATAAACAAACAGACAAACAAGACCATTAGTGTTTAGGTTTTTGTTGTTGTTTTTTTTTCCTGCTCTTTCACACTATCTGCGATTCTCCTCTTGGTCCAGAGAAAGGCCATCTCCGCTCTCATCCTCGAATTCTATAGGTCAGCTACTAAGACCCTTCTCCCTTCTCTTCTGACTTCGTCATACAAAACAAGAGAGATGAAGGGTTTGGCCCTCCTTAGATTCCTTGCCTGCTTTCAGAACAATTACCCAGTCCAGATAATTGGGGTCTTGTGTCTTCTTCTCAACGACACGCCAAGCTCTGAACCAAAGGGTTGGATAATATCCTGGGCTAGGATCCCCCCACTAGGATTGCATGTGGGGAGCAGAGAAGCAGCTTCTCAGAATGGGAGTCTCCACAACCAGAAGCCCAGGCTGGACACTAAGACCCCCACCCCAGCCCCATCTGATCAATGTCCTACTGCACAGTCCCTGACAGTGAACTTCTGTGACTGCGTCTTGATCTTTAGTCTGTAGGGGTGTCCTCTTGCTCTGTGAGCATTGGTGTGTGACATGAGTCTTCTCGGGCACAGATCCAGGGGCTGGTGGAACTTTCCGAGTTTGGTTAATGATGATGAGAGCGTGGCAGCTCATTTCCAGACGGCGCTGATCCTGGAGCCTCCCTGCCTGTTATTTTGGTGCTATGCGGCTGGGCGAGTGCCACCTTTGGGCTGCCCGGCTGCTTTAGCAGCTCCTTCTCATAGCAAAGGTCAGAGCTTTAAACATGATCACCCTGGATGACCCTAAGGGAAACAGACGCTGCTGTTCTCTAGGGGTCTCCCAGAAATCCTAACCGATGTAATGACGCCGTGAAGCACAAGTGTGATGCGTAAACCCTGGGAAAGGAGAGACAAAACCATTGCTTGCACTTACATTCAAGACAATCCAAAGAAATCAAGTGGGCTAAAGCTGATGAATCCAGGGATACGAAAGGGATCTGGCGCCATAGCTCCATGGACAATGCTTGCTTAGTATGTGGGAGTTCATTAGTTCCATCCTCAGCATTAGAAAAAAAAAAAAAAGAGAATTAGTAAGAAGATGGTTTAATAAAGTTTTATGTGCAAGTCTTTATGTTGATAATAACATTTACCAAAAAAAAAAAATTAAAGAAATATCTTACACAACAGCAGCTGATAAAATAAATCTCTTAACCTTTATTTCTAATTGTGACCAGGGCCCTGCTCTACAGTACAAAAAGGGGAGATGACAAGTGCACAGCAGAGAAATCTGACAAACATGGCGTCAGCTGAAGAAGATGAAGGGTGTCCTCAGGAGCAGGGCAGCACACTCCTGCCTTGGTTTCCTAGGGCTTCCCCAGGTTTGGAAGCTTCTAGCAACAGAATTTTTTTTTTTTTTTTTTTTTGCTTTTACACTTCAGGCAGAAAATTCTAAAGCAAGGGAGTTGGCAGAGCCAGTTCCTTCTTGGGGACGCAGAGGAAACCGAGGCACACACCTCTGCTGGCTTCCCGTAACTTCCCAAAATCCTTGCAGCCCTTGAGCTATGACCGAAGGTGAAATACACCCCCTGGGCTCAGGTTCTGCATTTTAAAAATAATCTCATCTTTAAAGCTTTATTTTATTCCATGTATGTGAGTGT